TATATGTGTATATATACACACATATATATATATAAACACATATATTATATATATATACAAATATATATATATATCTATATATATATATATACATATATAACATATGTATATGTATATGTATATATATGTATGTGTGTGTGTGTGTTTACAAAGTGATTTTTTTTTCTTTCCAACATTAGAGGGCAGTGTCCTACATCGGTTTTCTACACGTCCGGTAAAATGGTCACTATGAATCAAAGTAAGTTTAGTGTGTAATTGTTACTTTATACTTAATTATTTACTTACAGATGCAGGTACATACATTATTAAAACTTGTTTCCATTTTTTGAAACAAGTATAAGTAAAGTCAGACATTAATTTACACAGAAAATAACATTTACAGTAATCAATAATTAATTTATTTGCACATTATATCACAATAAATTAAGTAATTAAATTATAGATTACAGTACAAAAAATTATACACAATGTTATGAATGTACGTTAATGAAATTGTTGGATTATAATTTTCCATTATAATAGAAAGAGTAATACTGTTAGAATCTTGTTAGTTTTAACAATGAGGTTTCTTTTTGAGGGTCGCCATTTAAACTTATTATATTATGGTTGTTACTGTTTATTTTATTTTATTCAATTCTCTACTAACAGAGATAAAACCCTCATGTTTATTGTTCATATTAAGTAAATATAAATTAGCATGTGAACCTATAGAACATTTATCAATGTTTTTAAATTTATAGGTCATATGTTGAACCAGCCGTCTCTGGACTTTTCAAGTACATGGTGCTAGCTATTTCACCGACAACGTTACAAGAGATAGCGATAAAAGACATATTTAAGGAATTGTATATTATTAGAAAACACGGACTTCAAAGACAAAACCTGTATATATACACTTTTCGCTAAATTTGAAATGAAAATTTCCGAGAACCTGACAACTACCACTGGAAGGCATCCAGAGGCCCAGGTATTTTGATCTGCGTAGTTACCATGGCCAGTGTCTATCTGTGCATGCTCTGTGACTGGTGCACGAGATTGTTGTAGAGGCGCCTAGGCTAGTCTTTGAAAACAAAATATAATAAAAAATAGGGGCGCGTGAAACCTGCAGTGTTTTTGGCTGTCGAAGTACTGAAAAGAAGATCTGTCTGGAAAAACGAAATTTGCTCAAGCTAGGATGCTGCAGCTCTGGATGTCCTGTGAAAAGTTGCGAGACGTAGCGCTGTTTCGAAATAGACCATATAAAAATAATGGTGTATACGATATGGAAATGTAGTGTTAACGTATTTATATCGTGATGACTCAGTGGCGATTGACTGTGTGTTGATAAATTACGTGGAAATATAAAGTGTATTTAATTTTGTAATACATTCGGTTGTAATAATAGTTTCAGGGATGATGTGTAATTGTATATAAAAAAAATTGATGTATGGAATGAGAACCAGTAACAGTGGCGGATTTAAGAATTCGAAATAGAGGGGGTGGGGAAGGGCGGGACTTTCACAGATGGAGGGTGTAATTGAGGTAAGATAATTTATGATTATGAAACCTCTAGAATGCCGGAAATTTCAATAATAAAAAAAAAAATTAGGAGACATGGTCGGCTGAGCCCCCATGAACCTGTCACTGAGTAATCCTATTTGATATTAGAATCTGTTCGGTGAGGGAACAAGAATTCGTTTAACAAATGCGTAATGCAAAATTAACGGATTTTCTTCTTTTTGTATAATAAGCCTATTAAAATATAGCTAATAAATAAGTGAGTAAGGATAGACCTACTACATAATGTAATTAATAGTTTGTACATACTAACATATTATGGAAGCAAGTCTGTGAAGAATGAAATTCTAGTGTTTTCTTTTAATTTATTAATTTAGTGTATAATAATTTAATAAATTAGTGCCAACACTTTTTCATTAGTTCAAATGTCTGTTGTAAATATAAGAAAATGTAAATTTGCTTGTATTTAAATAAAAATATATATAAAAAAAGCAGACATTTGTAAAGGTATTTCCTTTGTTATTATTTTAATTTAACATAAACTTTAGGGTATTTTACGGCTGTGCCTCTGTTATAAAAGAGAAGCAATAAAGTTACTTACTTACTGCATCTACAGATGAGTCGGATTGCCGGTTGCTACACTTGACGGCATGACGGAGTTATTCACATGTTTCTCACCAGGACATGGAACTAAGTCTGAATTTACCAGGATATAAAAGGCAGTCTTTGTATTCTACGTATTGTTTTGTATGATAATTTTATTAAATGTAGGCCTATTTGTTACGATTATTTAAATCAAAGTATAAGTTAACCATTAGTACCATCTTTTCCTTATACACATATATCACCCCTGAGTATCAGTAAGTACCATTTTTTGAAAGAAGGATTACATTTTATTTATCAACTGTAAAAAGATCAAACAACAAACACAAAGGAAGACGAAATGACAATAAAGAGCGAAAACGAATAATCATACAGTATGATAAAAGACAGTAGATTTACATGAGGTCAGAGGTCGTCTAGATGCGTTTACATTCAATTTGTTATACTATAATCATAAGTATCACACGATAACGACACAAAGGTTAAAGGTAAAATACATCTGAGATAAGAACAGTATACCAGTACAGTCGAACTATAACGTGGTTGCGCAAGAATTTACCAGATGGAGGGTGGGATGGGGGAATGTTTGCGACGGACAGTGTCCCTGACCAGAGCATAATAGACCTTTCCGGAGTGTCAATCAAAGTTAACAACTGACCAATCAGAATAGTGCCTGGAATCCACGCCTGTCCAATAAGCGAACGGGTTGTCCCACAAACGCACGTGTTCGCGTATGTTTCAACACTGTCGTCTTGTGGGAACTTAGCAACAATATCCAAGGGGATGGGGGAGGGGGATTAGCGGAAAGGATCCATTAGACCCGTTGTCAGAGACTGGAAGAGGTCTAGAAGCAAAGCCCCAGGAAGCTGTGACAATTTAGAAATGTAAAAGATATAAACAAAATTTCATAATTGTGTTTTTCTCTCCCCGACAAAATATGTTATTTCTCTCCTTGGCGTTAAAGGGCCTATAATTGAGTTGTATAAACTGGCCTATAATTAAAATGGTCTACTGTCGAGTTGCTTTATACTACTCGCCTATAGGCCTACTACTAGCATTCTGCTATAATCTACAATTTAGCCTACATGACCATGTTTCATTGACCACCTTCGTATTTGAGTAACTATTATTGAGTTTTAAAAAATATTTATCTATTTCCGTGATAAAACCCACAGGATCTTCGTATTGCAATCAATTAAATAAGTAACCTTAAGATATTACAGGTAGTTTATCCACTAGAAGTGACTTTAAGTACTAACAATGGTTTCAGTGTTACATCACGCTCGTTATAATGACTAACAGCATATAGAATCACGCCGAGAGTTTCGTTTAGACATTATATTTATACCTAATAAATTATGATAAAGCTTTAAAAGTAAAATCAAACCTAATTTCCTGAAACCTTATAAGGCATTCACACAAAATCCAAAGAAAGGCGTATGTACAGTCGTATTTGCTATTTAATGCCTGCAACCAAGCATTACGGAACACAATGGTACAGTTCAAAAGCATTGACAAAATGAACCAATTCTTTTTGGATTACTGAACACTGGCAGCAGAATAAGCGTATTTTCTATTTCTTCCTCATATCGCTGTATTTGTATCAAATTATTAGACGTTATGTTTTGGATTAGGATGAGAGTTAGGAATACAATATATTTAAGTTTATGCTGGTTCTTCTGCATCCAATGCAAATATTATGTGGACGGTATGTGTGAGTAAGTATACAATATTATAATTAATTTGCTAGTTTCCTGGTCATTTGGCCAACTGCTATCACCACAACCGCCGCCGCTGCCAACACTACCAACACTCATCTACTGAATCAAAATAGGCTTACACATTAGGCAACTAGGTTTCACAGTAGAACCCTATAGTAAAAGGACACATTTGTGACCACAAAAGTGTCCCCTATACCAAGTATCTAACTTGTTATTAAGGGTGTCTCCATCCTCCTTATTGGGGTGTCCTTTATAAGAGTTGGTCGTGGTGTTAAATGATGTATACCGTATTTCCCCTAGTTTCGAAAGTGTCCCCTTAATAGTGATATTCTCCGAATAACGGGGCGTAGGCTTGTGGGTGCAGGGGGTTCGGCCGTATATCCCCTCAAAAAAAGCAAAACGTTCCGCTGGTGTTAGGCTTAAACCTGGCCTGTACTAAAATGGAAAATTTGCAGGGCTGCAAGTAGAACTCGATTAGGCCAACAAAGTAGGCTTACACATAAACCTATGATATGCCTAGTCGTACTAAAACAAAATAAAAATTCATGTTTTATCCCAAATGTGAATAAACACTCAGACAGTACAGTAATTCGAAATAAATACAGTGTATTCTTTTCCTTCCTTATTGTTTATTCGTTCGGCCGTCGTTGTTTTTTTTCACTAGGCCCTCAGTAGACATTTTTAAGCTGGTGGCCGTTCCAATTTGTTGAGACCAGCGGCGGGCCGACATGGTTTATTTTTTATTATTTTTATTTTTTTCATTGACAGCTCCACCCATTCCCAACGGATTAGAATAGATGTGTATAAGAGACAGGTATAGGCCTGAGCCGGGCTTAAGATTGCAGGATACCTTAACATACAGTAATGTAAGCCTTGTCTTGAGGGTGTATATGCAGTGGAATATTGAATAGAGAAGAGGTGGACACCAAACAAACTTGCACCCAAGTTCTACTGTACCATTAAATATCCCGAGCACCAAAATGGGACCACTACCACATCCCCACCATGTTTGGGGCTGAGGTAAGCAAGTTTTTAAAAATAAACACATAAGATGCCCGGAAATGGCACTCTTGGACTTTAAAAATACATTTTCAAACATGAGTGTTCCCAAAATAATATAGGCTTATTCCCCAACAAGGTCCAGAATTCCCCGATGGGTTCATGCATTCCGAGCCTATCCCCTCAATAATTATTTATTTCCCATCAGACGCCCTCTCCCCAAGTCAATTAATACTCAACGCCAGTAGATATTATAGTTAACTACTCAGAAAAAGCTGACACTTGCTAACACTGTCAGACTAAGTGACATTCCTATTCGTTTAAAAAACGCTTGGGTCATTATTCCTATTAACTTTAACGTTTTCTTGTAGGCCAATATGCCTAAAATTATGAGAATAAGTAACGCATTTTTACTCATGTGAATGTCGTCTCCACGTCTCAATTCTTTTGCAACAATAACTGAAAATCGACCAGGAAAATAATTTATTTTTGAGCGGGCCGGATCGAAATTTTTGGCGGGCGGGCAGTAGGTTGAATACCGTGGCACAAGGCGAATTCGCCCAAAATGCGATATTTTCCATTACATTCATGGGCAGCTCAATAAATAACAGTTAACTACACACCCTCACAGACTCTGTTCCCTGGCCCCCAGCTCCTGGCTCGGGTCCTTCGACCGTTACGCCATGATCATTTGTAGTTCCGCATTTACATTTTTCGCCCTCTCCATGGGAATCACGTAACTGCGCCCCTGGAATAGGGGTATTCCAAACAAAATAAAAAGCCTGCTACTACACTAAAGGTGGGTCCAGGTTTTTCATTAGAGGGGGGCTAATACACTTTAATTATCATATTTTATTTGAGTTTACTAATATTTTTTTTAAATTATCATGCTCATTATACACACAGATGTGCATGGTTGTTTTATGCTATAATATACAAATAGGCCTAATGAATGTATGAGTGCAATGGGCAAGAATATTTCTTGAGGATGTTCTGTTCAACGATGCGTAGCCGTTGAATAGAACATCCAATCTTTCACCGAATGAAATATTTAACCCCATTGTAAGAATTAAAAAAAAAAAATTATTTGTTTTATGCAACATCTAGCTGTATCTCTCCGGATCGCCTGTATGCTCTTCTTCGAATACAAAAACCCATCATCCTTTCGAAGGCCAGCATAAAATCGGCCTAGGCTAGGCCTAAGGCAGGCTTAGCAATCGATCAAGTTCAGGTTCGGCCGGCTTATAACAGACACAAATCCTCACCGCTGAAGCTGTAAAGATATACTCCATACGGTTAACTGCATATTTTATTGCCTTTTTTGTTGATTGTTCATTTAGTAATTCTTCCAAACCTTCTTCGCTCAAAAGTACATGGCCCAGTCCAGTACGAATGGACCTGCCATTTTATATCGGCAGAACGAGGACTGAATAACCAACCCCTTGTGAAGCACGAATTGCCTAGGCTAAGCTAACTTTTCTCGCTCGCGTTGCATTTGAGATTTTTGACGTCTTGAATATTCAACGATCGTTAACTAGTACTCAAATAACCACGGTATTTACATTTTAAATTAATCTCACGTGACTTGTTTTCAACCAATAAAATTAATAGAATATATACAGGCGTTGTATTATATTGTTTATTGTTAATTTTTTACTATTATATGTTTGCAGTTGCTGTTGCATTGGGAGAAAAAACCGTGAGTAAATTTAATGTACATATCAAATAAGATAAAAGATTAATTAAATTTCACTTATAGTGTAGATAGTTTTGTACAAGTAAAATTCTTTTTCCTGATGCTTATCTCACCTTACCGTTCGGCCGCAGCCGAGATGGTACTAAGGGGCTATTCATAAGGTTCATTATTCATAAGGTTCGATATTCATAACACTAGCTTACCCTATACCATAGGGTCGCTATTCATAATGAAGAAAAGGGTTCGCTATTCATAAAATATATATGGACAGCTATTCATAAGTTTCGCAAGTCATAATCGAGAAAAGGGGTCACTAGTTATAATTTAATAAAAGGACCACAAGGAATAAGGTTCTCTAGTCATAATCAAGAAAAAGGGTCCGCTACTCATAATATAAATAAAGGGCCATTATTTATAAGGTTTGCTAGTCATAATATAAGAAGAGGTTCGCTATTCATAATAAAAAAAAAAAGGTTCGCTATTTATAATAAAAAAAAGAGGTTCGCTATTCATAATAAAAAAAGAGGTTCGCTATTTACTATAAAAAAGGAGTTCGCTATTCATAATAATAAAAAATATTCGCTAGTTTGTAAATCAATAATAATAAAATAAAGTTTTAGTCATAATAAAACAGCAAATTATAGTTTGAAAACAGAAATGGTTTAATAGTCATTAAAAAAGAGTGTAAAGTTATATTATATAATCCTGCATTTTGTCAATTTTGCACAATTTTCCCCATGAAACCACCACCTTCATTATTGTCATTCCCTGAGCTCTTTTGTTTTTATCTGTATTCTTTTTTTATTGATTATGTCAATAAACAAAATATTCAATTATAAGTATACGCTATTGCACTTCGCGTGAAATGAAAACTGCAGCACTTACAAGAAATAACAAAATATACATTATTGTAAAAAAAAAAAAAACAACTTTAATATCTTAAAGCTGTCTCTTATACACATCTAGATGTGTATAAGAGACAGTATATATTAATTCAAATATTGCACGTGTTGTTTAAATATAGACTTTATTTTTTTAATATTTTCATTTTAAAAACATATATATATATATATAGGTCTATATATGTAGGCATATGTATATGTAGGTATTATATATATGTATACATATAGGCCTATGTATATATATATGTATAATATAAATCATCAAAGGTACATATACAGTGTTTAATAAGGACATATATATGTATATATATATAATTATATATATATATATATGTATGTTTCGAAACACACGTTGACACGCCTTCTTCATATATATATATATATTTAAGAAAATTCCTTTTGTTAAATTCCTATTATTTAATTAAATTTGTATTTGAGGTGTGGTTCCTTTTTAATTTTTTATTTTGACTAGCGTTTAAACCTCTTTTTCTATAATGACTAGCGACATTTTTTTTATTATGACAAGCGAACCTCTTTTTTAAAATTTTGAATAGCGAATATTTTTTTTTTTTTTTTATTATGAATAGCGAACCTCTTGTTTTATTATGAATAGCGAACCTTATGACTGGCGAGTGGACCCCTAACAGGGTTCGGTGAGAAAGTTTTGTCACTCATTGCTCCGCTGAGGTTTTTAAGGCCGAGTCCGCGGTGTCTTGGCAAGGTAATAGCAAGGGTTATGTTGAGTGTTCCTACCAGTAGGCCTACACTAAAGTACCAGACCGTACGGAGCTCAGTACACTTTTCATTCAGAATTACTGTGAAATGCTTGCATAATTTATAAGTCAAAGGCGTAAAAAATGTTCATGCATTACACGGTAATGTTGTGTTTAACATAGCTGTGCTAGTTCGAAACGCTATAGGAAACGCAAATCGCATTAACATAAAAGTTTAATTACCCTTTTAATAATATTCAAAATATGTAGAATGACGTCATAATTGAGTATGTACTCATAACCTTGTTATGGTCTTTGCTTTCACAAAGTTTGGACAGAAATAATGACTTTTACTTCAAACACAGGAAAGGCCAATGATGATGATAATGATTTAAAGCGAATACTATTAATAATGCTAATGCCAATACTTTTATGCTAATGATACTGCTTATTTTATTTCAAATTATTTTAAATGGTACTCACATTAACACCCTACGCCGGTCGTCACAAAAATTCAGTCATTTCTTTACTAGACCTTTACAAACTATTATAGAAAGTTTTATTTACACCCATTGAAAACTTTTTTTTTATAGACATTTAGGTCTGGGTCCTCAAAAATTGAAATGACCCTCCATTTTACACCCATGACTGATTCGTCGCCAGCACATAATAATTTCTTCCTTGTAACTTGGTTAAATTTTTTCCGAAAGTTTCACTTAGATCAGTTGATCCGTTTTCGAAATAATGTGGTCTGATTCCTGATGATGACATAATTAATGTCGAAATATTGAATCCCAACACGATGGCGTGTATTTCAATACTTGGAGTATGTATTATACTTTCTTATCTGAGATTAATCAGTGGACCTTTTGGTTTGTGGTCTGGGACGTTTTCCTTTAAATGATCACACCATACTCATTTTTTTACATGACCTTTACAAGGTATTATAGAATGTTTCATTTAGACCCATTGGTTTTTATTAAAAGAGATATTTAGGTCTGGGTCCTTAAAAATTGCAAAGACCCTTCAATTTACAGCCTTCATTGGAACGTCACTAACACATAAAAATTTGTAACTTGATTAAACTTTCCCGTAAGTTTCAGTCACATCAACTGACCGGTTTTTGAAATATCCGGTGTAGACTCTTTTACCTTAAATCACTTTAATTGGTCCTCACACGCACACCCACCATAGATTGACACTAAATATTTGGAGGCACATCCTTGATATATGGCCTATGCTGCGGCAAAGCACGGAACAATTCTAAGCAGGGGAAGTGACCAACAACAACAAACAAAAACAATGACTTTTCTTAGTACTGTTGGGAAAAGCCAATAATACTAATAATGACAAAGATGATGATGATAATAATAATATTAATAATAATAATAATGACAGTGATAATTATAATGACATTGATAGTAATAATACTATGGATGATGATGTTGATATCGATGGTGAAGATGATGAGGATAATGACGTAAATAACGATAATATCAATAATACTAATAATATTAATAGTATCAATAATAAATGGATATTCATAATTAATATCCATGTCTTACCAAGGCTTCTACTAACCAAGGTGAATGCAAGGATACCCAGTTGCTATGCACATTATTCAACGACAAAATGTGTTTGTCAAGATGGTGAGTGTAATAATCCTGCAAAGTTTATCATCAATCGTCTGATTTATTAACTTTTGAAATCATCACAGTTCACAAATGTAGCAAAAATGCCAAAAATAAGCTGCATGATTTTTGGTAGATACTACTAATATTCAATACAGGGGTTTGCTTTGTGGTGTACAAGGGGTAGGATTGAGCACTGTATTTGTTGTTAGCTGGGTATTTGGGTATAAGGATGGGGTGGTGTAACCTCATGCTAATGCAGAATATGGTTCTCTTTTAAATAAATTCGGATAGGGGTTGAGGAAAGGAACACTTTAAAGATTTCGTGAAAGCATATTTTTATTGTTTTCGAAGAATTATAGATCCTTGTTATACTTTGTTTCAACCTTATTATATTTGCAATCTAAATACAGTATTTGTTTTTCATATTAAGGAATTGAAACCGATAGTAAGAACCACTATGAATTTATTATTGAATTTATTGAATTTCGAGAAAATATTATTATTATTATTATTATTATTATTATTATTATTATTATTATTATTATCATACTTATTATTATTATAATTATCAAATATAGGTCGGATATTGTATATTTACTATCAATAATAATAATAATAATAACAATAATAATAATAAAAATAATAATAATAATAATAATAATAATAATAATAATAATAATAATAATATTATTATTATTATTATTTAAACATAATATAGCTATTTGTGATGGTTGCCGATACATTTGCAACGGAACATGCTCGGCCATATATGACGAACATGAAAGTAAGTGAGTGACTATTCATTTAGTGTAGATCGATCATCCTGTAACTGATCTATTTTTCATATTAAGGAATTGAAACCGATAGTAAGAACCACTATGAATTTATTATTGAATTCATTGAATTTCGGAAAAATATATTATTATTATTATTATTAATATTTTTCATCAAATTTAGCTTGGATATTGTATAGATGACAAATTTACTATTAATTATAATAATAATAATAATAATAATAATAATAATAATAATAATAATAAAAATATTATTATTTAAACATAATATAGCTTGTGATGATTGCCGATCCGTTTGCCAAGGAGCATGCATGAGAAAAAACAATAGTGAGGAAAGTAAGTGAGTCAATATTCATTTAGAGTGTAGATCGATCATCCTGTAACTGATCTATTTTTCAATATTGATATAATTTAAATAAATTTTATTTTATTGTGATAGATATATCAGTTTGTGTGTTTATGTATGATGGAATGAGTATAGAGTATTATTTTAAAACACAAACAAGATAATTATTTTTGTTTAAAGGCTGTCCATGATAATTTTCTCACAATTAAAATTACTCCATTCTCCAAAGCTGATAATCAAAATCATAAGTCAATCGTGACGTCATCCCTGCAACTCCCAATGTTATTTTCATAACTAAAACCGTGCACTAATTTTCCATTAGCACACGACAGGCCTTCAGAAATTTTTTCTTGCATTTTTTCTTAACTTTCGTGTAATAATTTCCACATAATGTAACCTAGCGGCGCAAACATTATAAACTTCATTTCAGATACAAAATAGCTTCTGTGTCTCATAAGGCACATTCGCTTAAATGATAACAAAGAAATCGATTTTTTATATATTATTTTCTTATCTGAGCACTGTTATTATTATTTATATTTTGGCTATATTGTGTTTACGGTGCTACGCAGCAAACTTAAATTGAATATAATGTATGGATCTGAGACTTTTTTTGTTATTCCACATATTACTGAAGATGTTGTTGTCGCTGTGGTAGTGTCGTGTTGTGTAGTCATCGTGATTATAGCAATTCTCATCACAAGTTGTTACTGGATTCACAAAAAAAACAAAGGAAATGGGTAAATATAATAATAATAATAATAATAATAATAATAATAATAATAATAATAATAATAATGATTATGATGATAATGATAGTGATGATGATGATGATGATGATGATGATGATGGTGATGATGATGATGATGGTGATGATGATGATGATGATGGTGATGATGATGATGACAATGATGACGATGATGATGATGATGATTATGGTGGTGATGATGACGATGGTGATACTAGTGATGATAACGATGATAATAATTGATATGATAATAGAAAAAAAGAGCGTAATATCATTGATTTTACAAAAATGCAATACAGAAGACTCACTTGTGTTGAAAATCATTTTTTTAAAAAGAAGATCGAATTCAAAATCATCTACAGTGAGGTATTCTGCCGAAAACGAGAAAGTTGACATTGAAGGTAACGCATCTAATATGTTCAATACCTGAATTTTTTTTTTTCGAATCTTCACTAAATCAATGACCTTATGGAGCATAATCATCTAGTGGCGGATCCAGGAATTTGAAATAGAGGGGGCCCAGGGAGGAACTTTGACATATGAAGGGTTTATAGCACCTCAGCCCCACAATTGTTGAGGCTGAGGTAAGAAAATTACGATTATGTCACCAATAGAAGACCGGAAATGCCACTTACAAACTTTTTTTTCTCTCTCCAATTTTTGACAATTTTGAAAAAATTCTGGAGATAGCGATGTTTATAATGATGAGGTAATGATAATTATAGGAAAGCATAGGGTCTACGAACTGATAGGGATGATGAAGATGATGATATTACTAAGCCTACCGATGTCGATAGTGATAATGATATTATTAATGAGAGGAATATTAATGCGATAATGGTAGGCCCAATGATGATGAAATCATAGCTGTTGTCTTTTGATTTTAATTTAAAATTACTACTTTCTTTTGTTTGACTATATTTGTATTAAGAAAATATAAAGATTGCGAAAAAACGTATTCGACTATGAATTTTGTTTAAAATAAATTCATTTTTACCTTATATCTTCTTTAAAGGTGAAACGAGTGTTGCGACCCAGCCACTGCCAGCCATACCTGTACAGAATCACTACATTCCATCCACTTTACAACAGAATACCTACGAACAAATTGATCCTGAATACATAGGCCTCCAACAAGACAAAAATGACGCTGCATCCTCGATCCTCCAACTAAACAATGATGCGATACCAAATGGCAACTCCTCAGCAATTACAGACATGAGTGAAACTATCAATCTGAAATTAGGTGAAGATAAAAGCGAGACGATGTTAAACTCAAATGTATCGATCGGTAAACCTATACCTGCGTATTATACTTTGCAGAGAGATGAGAATAGTGACGTCACTGAAACGTCACACACAATTGAGGCCAACGATGATGGGGAAGCCGATGATTATGCGATGTTGAGGCAAAGTGATATTGAAGAAGAATCATACAGTAAATTAAATCACAACACGCACAAAACTGTTCCGAATGACGTAACTGACGACTACAACAAGCTGATCCCCACCCCTGCGTTCGATGAAGAGTCTGAAGAATATTCCCATTTTAACAGGACATCTTTAAACGTGGATGAAAGCGTCAAGGATCCCGGCTACGGTAAACTAAACCATTCTAAAGACGAACCAGTTGAATGTACAGCTAAATCGAATGATGGTTATGAAGAAACTTTACCAGGCGACGTTAAACCTAAATATGTAACTCCTGGAGGTTCAGAAAAATTAAAAGACAACAATCGGGTGGAAAAAACTAACAAACGGGTTGAAAAAGCCAACATGAATAATGGATACGAAGAAGCAATTATTAAGAACTCAGATCAACCAGAAGGTAAACCTAATGCAGAAAGAGAAAATCTGAATAATGGATACGAAGATTGTTAGAAGTTCAATTTAGCCAGAAGGCAACACCAATTCGGGAAGAGTCAATGGCGAAAATATTTTTAACATTTTTTTTGTACATTTTGTCTTATAAAGGAAGAGCAAGCGGCAAATTAATATATATATATATATATATATATATATTTATATTTGTACATTTTGTCTTATAAAGGAAGAGCAAGCGGCAAATTAATATATATATATATATATATATATATGTATATATATTTATATATAGGCCTACATATCACCGTACTCTTCCATGCCGTTTCGGCAGCCTTGCAAGTTAGCCCTTTTGGTCATGGCTGGCCAAGGCCTAACGAATGTCTATGAGCGGTGACCATCTCTGAGAAGAAAGAAATTTGGAAACGGTAATAATAAGCTTTTTCCTATTCGGAAGAAGAGGGGTGGGAAGGGGAATTTGTTTAAACTGGGGGAAATGGTTCACTACAAATTTCGGCTCAGTGACAGGCTGGGTTGGGTTGCAAATTTACAAGCTGAGCCCGTCGAGAGAACCGTAAATTTCCTACTGAACATTTTCCCCAGTAAAACAAACACAAATACATAATCTCTGTCTCTAGTCGCAGATTTTCGTAGACTTCATTGCGACATGGTGGTTCACATCACATTCGTTATACAACTCTTTGGCGAAAAATATATTTGGTGTCTCGTAATTGGCCCAACAAACCCTTTATTCTTCTCTGTACGCAGTGTTAGCTGGAAATTATAAGCTATGCTCAATATAGAATCTATTTATGCAAGGTTGTAATACATGAGAAATTTTGACTTGGTGATAAATTCGTTTTATTCTTTATGCAAACTTGATTTATATAGTGTGACCCTTCCAACTGGACAAAGAAGACCAGCTGATGTTCAGAGACCCTCTTTTAAAAATATGACATCAGAAAAAATATGTTGAATTAGTTGGATAAATAATTAGATATATAATAAATCAATAATAGGCTAATAAACAAATAGGCTTAACTGTATGTATTTCAATATCTTTATATAATCGTATGCCCAGCAGAGAAACTGTAAAGAAATAGGCAAACCGTATTTATTTGAATGAACGTCTTGCAAATAAACGCCCCCACGAATAAACTCCTCAGCGCCTCATTTCGAATAAACACGTCCATCGAATAAACGCCCCATAAATAAATGTAACCAAATCAATGGAAGCAAATACCATTCTTAACATATTCAATATAGATGTTCTACTCCAGTAGAATTACATTTTGTCTAACCTGGTCGGGATCAAGTCTTTATGATTACGCAATAACACATTTTGACAGTAATTGTGTGTGTCGTAGTTCCACATTTACAGTGAACTTTAGTGGCGGTTATATTAAGTCAATTTTACACACAAAAAAATAAACGACTTCTTGAAATGATTCCTCCCTTCCAATGGCGTTTATTCGAATAAGTACGGTTTCTGCAAATTATTATTCCTCTATATTACTTCTGAGTAGCTATTATCGCAACAAGAAAGCAACTTTGAATAAAATTAAGACTTTATAGTTACAGTAGACCTATAGGTTTTATAGAAGAATGCAGCCAAATTCTATAAATACTTGTTTGACAGATGTATATAAATTATAAATAAAAGCGAAGAAATAGTTTATATATAAGTAGGCATATACACTTGGCATACAAACTGATAATTGTTTCAACAGCTACTTTAATAATTATGGATGACTGATAACACTTTGATGTACACCTTGATTGTATGCACTTGATTAAGATTCAGACTTCATTTAAATCCTAATTCCCATTGGGGCGAAAAAATGACGAGTGGCAAGTCAGGGGCACTACTAACTACAGTCTTAACATAGCGGCGCTGATTTTAGCCGCTTCTTGTCCGAGGTTCGGTTGGTAGAACCAAGTCTTCCAGAACCAAGGTCAATGTACACATCTGGATAGGTGCACTTTAAAGAACTCATTGAATCTATCGGAAGAGTAGTTTGCCCGGTGCTATAGTTCATTTCAGCACCTGTCTTAGGGCGACTATGTAGTCACGGACCACGACACAAGTCATTCAGCACGCCGCGAAACAGTTACATGTTGTTTTCCTACGTTTACGAAATTAGGTAGCAATTCTCTCTGACTGTAACTTTTACAGATTTGCAAAGACAGAATAAATAGCAATATGTAGGCCTACGTATATATGATAGTTAATACGATGTTTTTTTTAACTTTATGCATATCAATAAACTGATTAGTAATCAATTAAAGATATTAGTAATAATAATAATAACCTTGAATCTTCACTTTTACAAAAGTGGCACACAATGAAGGTGCGTTCACAAAGATGACAAAATATAACACTACACAACAAATATAAAAACAATTATATATTGACAGTGTATAAAAAAACATTCTGTAAAAACGACTTCAAAATAACTTAAAATAAAAACATTTTAAAGCTTGTTAAAACTGGCTGTTAAAATTGTTTTTTAAAAAGGGTTATAATGGGTTATTATATTTAAAACAGCGTTAAGAATTCAGAGTAATTGTTTACACATTGTTTACCTGATTTTTACGTTATATTCATTCATGATTTTACTCCTTGTTTGCCAAGCTCTTTTTAGTTAAGACTTACATATTTTTCAAATGTTATACTTATATCATTATTATTTCTATATAATTTGTACAATTCATTATTGCCATGCATGAGTCGTGTTTTGGTATTCAAATCGCTAGAAATAAACAAATCCCAAGCAAACTGACCATTAATCTTGTTACATAGCATATCCTATAGCTTTACAAACTCATCTATACGAATGTCATTAATTTTTGAATTTCTGCACGTGAATAAATAGTGCTGCATATCCTCATTGCCAGACTTACATACTGGGCATATCTCACCGGTGTCCCTTATCCATTTGCTCACTTTACTATTTAGTGGTAAAGTATTCGAGCGTGCTTTAAATTTAAGAGTAACCTTTTTGAAATCAAATTTATCAAGTAAGTAATTATTTTTTCTATTGTAAGTTCATACGGTAATTTTATTTGCAGGTAGGAAGCCAGTGAAGTTTTTTTTGTTTTTGTACTTTCATATAGATGCAATTTATCTTCTTCTTTATCTTATTTTTAGTAATAACCAGATAGCTATCATTATCAATTGCATTAAAATCACATTCTGAACCTAACTTTCAAAAAAAGTTTGTTCATATGATCGAACCATGTACACTTAATTTGTTTGGTTTCACTTAAAGCTACCATTTCATTCAATGCTAAGCGAGGCCAGGGATCTGTATTAAAGTTTTTTAGCCTACATAGACATTTTACACGTTGGCAATTTTAGATGGCTTCCAATGAATGCCATCCTAGATCTGCGTAAAGTGCCTCTTTACTAGATGTACAGGGACACAAGAATAAGTCTTGCCATCTGAATTTGTAATTTTTCAATGGTTAACATATCAGTAGAGCTCCCTTCCCAGGTTAAACACGCGTAATTGATGGAGGGCAAACCCAGGGATTCCATAGTATGTCACCGTAGTATACTCTGTTATAGTCATCCTGTCCGTTAAGAATTGACTGAATACTTCCTACATCCTATTATTTTGTTACCCTTCTTAACAACTTCTTTTATATGGTTATGGTCTGACCTGTTTCTAGACATGGTATACCCTAAATATTTGTATGTCTTGACCTCAGATATAGTAATAAATTGTTAACCAGCTAAATAATCTGCTTTTCAATTACTGTTTAATATATCTTAGTCCTTGGCGTTGATACCATTGTGTGCGCTGAACCGTGGAGATCTCTTGGTCCCCGGTCCAATTCCCATCGCTGCCTCTCCTTGTGTTTCCACTGGACGGCTGAAATACAAGTTACAATTATTGCGTTATTATAGCGCACCGTCTTTCGGACGAGACGTTTAAGCCGTTGGTGCACGTTAAAGAACCCAGTACACTCTGGAAAAGAGTAGGGGATTGTCTCCCGGTGTACTGCCCAATCACCACCAGAAGGACCCCACTGGAAATAAGTATTCTTCTAGACTTTCGTGGGCTATCCTTGGTGTTTACACCGAATAAAACTAATGCAATCCTATATATATATAATCATTCTGGCCCGCGAAAAAAAATAAAATAAAAAAAATATAAATATTTAAAAAAACAAAATTATTTTTTACTCTGAAAAGCCCAATTCAGAAATGATACTTCGCCCACAGACGTGATGAGTTCCATTACCAGTCACTGACAACATTAATGTTCCAGCGACCCTGAAAAATATTTTTTGCATGAAAATATGCTTAATTTTTTTCAAATCTGTATAAGCCTTCTTATTATTAGGCCAATGCAACTATTCAAAGAGTGAGATGTGTATAAGAGACAGTATATATACTTACATATAAACACGAACAAGTAAACGTATTATGGTTATTAGCAAGGAAAATTCGTTTTAATTTGTCGTATCTAGCAGTTACACCTTCTGTGTAGAGTTATTCCTAGTCATCAGAGTCGTTGACAGCAGCTGTCGGCAGTGGCCTGTAGCAATTTTTTTGTAACCCGGGGTATAAACTACCTGTTTGGGTCTTAACATAACTTAACATATCTCACAGTTAAGTCCCTGTGTGTTTGGCGAGGCCTTTGGCCTTTTCGTAAACCCGCCGTGCCAACCCAAACCGCCGCATCTAGAATGTTTGCATCATCGTAAAAGCGATGAGGATTTTAAAACAGAAACGTGATCGTCCGAGCAAAGGATCGGAGTTTACGATTTTGACGAACTTTTAAAGACTTCTTTAAAATATGCGATGACCGATATTTTAGGCTACAACAGGAAACACACAGTTTAAAAGAAATAATGAAAACAAACTTTAGAATATTAGGACTATACGCACGTTAGGCCCACTAATAGTAGTAGTAGGTATTAGTGGGCCTAGGTGGAGTTAGCCTAGCCTAGGCCTATAGACTTAGGCTAGCTAGTACTACACTGGGACCATGCAGCTCTGTTGTAATATTTGGGATTTGCCTTGTCATAGCGAAGAAAACATTATCACTACACTTTATATTGAGAATATGCGTGTTTCAGCCTTGATCAGCTTCTCTGTATCACGATGGGACGTAGCGTAGCCGTTGTATGGGACTTGTATATTTGAATCAATGCAAAAATAAAACAGGTGATTGATGTTTTCGGGTTGG